CCCCTTGGCGGCCCCAAAGGCTCCTCCAGACCTTGCCTGAAGATAACATGAAGCATTGCACATGGGGATCAAGCACCACTCCATCGCCTCATCTTGCTGGTTTCCAGATCCTGGCGATCGGCCAGCCAGGCATCGAGCTGCATGACCCTTTGTCATTGAGTAGCTGACAAAGAGGTTGGGAGGAGAGTGGGCAGTTCTAGTTGACGGTGCCCAGTCACTCAATCGAGCAAAGAGAAACCCATGTCCTGCAGGGGCAACCACAGATTGGAACAGTGTTAACAAGCCCCAAAAAAGCATGGAAAGGAAGAGAAATTCACTTCACAGTCAGGTGATCACTAGTTTACCGAATTAAATAACCACCACTGACGGTTGCTGTACATCAAATCCATATATATATCACAACATATTTCTCATGAACTCTCCTGGCAGCAGGATCTGTCCCCCGCAGGTCTTGCAAAGCAGGGAATCCAGTCTTCCACCAGTAGCAACAGAAGATGGCTTAAACAATGGCGATTGAACTGCACGCAGTGTTCTTTTTCAGCATTCCCTGACTCTTGGGCAGTGCAAAAGTGGCAAATCATGGCAGCGAAGGCTGCAAACACATTTGATGGTTCACACCCACAAAAAAAGGCACCCCATACAGTTGACAAGCGCAGGAAACAGTTCATTGTCATATCATGGCACAAGGGATCAATATGGACTCACCCAGGCGACAAAACAACAACTGGAATCTTGACCAGAATAAATTGCTCTGAAGAGGCACGACAATACGTTGCCTCATATGCTGATCGGACACAGGTGTCTCCATTCAGCACTTGTAGGATAGTGGGCAATGTCATGATAGTGGATCAATTCAAAGCAACAGGATGAAGGCCTGCACAGCCAACCAACGAGGCAAACAAGGAACCGTGAAGATTCTTCAGCTTGCCAAGTGGCAAGGCTGCAGAGCTGTCGATCTGGAAATGAATAGCATGCACTGATGTGCACTTCTATGAACAGCAGCCCAAAACACTTTTCAAACCAGTGGCCTGCAATTGTCCCCATACATTGCACCCATACAAAACTCTCTGGCAAGCTGTGCACCTTTGTACACATTCCTTACAGTGCTTGGTACTAGCCCATATTATGACTCTGAGCGGCAACTGGTCAAGTCTTTGTTCATTCACAGATCACCAATTCCGATGCCCTTCAGATGTGCAAGACATTTCTGGAATAACATCAACCACCACCCATGCCCTACTCCCTTCACCCACCCAAATCCACAAAACACCTCACCCAGTGGTATACTGTACCCCAGGACACACCTTGAGACATTCAGCAAAGGGAGCACTATACAACCATTCCCATTTCCCATTTGCCATTCACTCCAAAACCATCCTGAGTTCTACATTGTTTGGTTATATTCCGCTGCAAACTGATTGCAAATCACATTGTGATGGATGCATTCATAGTATGAACTTAGGCACAATGTTTTTGTTCCTTTGCTTACATTTTTTGCAGTGTTCAACAAGAAATTTCTACTTAGAAATATTTTGAAAGTTTAAACTTGCAAAATCACGGCATCGAAATTGCTGCGACAGCAGATTAGTTGGAATTTGAAAATGGAATCCCGCGAAATACACTTACTCTTTCTGCAATTTGTACATTGTCCCCAGGATAGCGAAACGGCAATTCACGTGGTGGTCGAGAGGAGGTCGTTCGACATTGTTGATTATCTCATACCAGTAGGCTTTTCTGTGAATATGCCCGATAAGGTAAGACAGCTGCGCCACACGCCCCAGAATCAAACAGCGACATTTTTGCTTCAACAATATCTTATCCAGCGCCTTCTCTACGTCCAGTTCTAGAAAAAGACTCTTTGAAAGGCTTTGTGTTGCCAATGCATATTGAATAGAGAATACATTTGTATTGGGTACATCGCGAAATAATATAATGCGATGTGCATAACTGGTTATGAATGCATTTAAAAAACCACTCTGAAGAATGCATTTTAGTGCAGTTTAGCCACGTCCTGATGTGGAACTAAAGAAGTGATCAGTTGGAATGAAGGATAATGAAGGAACTGATTACTTCCTTTTATAACCACAGAGAGAAAGGAGAGTCACCTTCTTATTCACAACTTGAAATGGGATTTTCATAACAATTTTTATGGTTTTTGTCGGCTCTTATTACAATTCACTCCAAATCTGTAATAAATCCAATTATTTGGCATTACCCTTATCATTCATTTATGTCAATCTGTGTAAATCTGTCACGGCAAGTTGATGGGGGGCTTTCAGCAAGCAAGCGCGACTTCAAGTCACAAATTTGCAATATTTGAGCAAATGCGCCCAAGGCCAGAGCTTGCCACTTTCCAGGCTGGCCCCCCAAACGATGGGAAACCAGGATGATGGGGAGGCTTTTGTTGTAATCCCAGGCCAAGACAACACATTAGTAATATGCAACAACGCTGTGCATGAAGGTCGGAAAACACATCCGTGGTAGCGGGCATCTACAAAGTCTTCAAAGTCCTTTATTTCTGCGATGAGCGTTCGCAGGCCTGAAGATCTTGAATTTGCAATGCCTACAAAATACATCCAGAAAGGGTCGCTGTCAGAATACCAAGCAACATTCGCATTCAAGGGGACGAAATAAATCGCTCATCCACGCGCATCCATACACTGGTAGAAAACGTCATGTTTGCGATGCCAGCTGTGATGCCATTCTGACACAAATTGATGCCGTCACAGTGAGTGGGATGGCATAAAAGGGGCTGTGATGGCGTCAATTTGTGTCAAAATGGCATCGCAGCTGGCATCACAAACAGGCTGTTTTCTACTAGTGATACCAGTGGCAACCGCTATGCTTTGCCGCGCGCACAGACGAGAGTGAACCGTGTAGAACTCTAGTGCGTGTGCGACATGAAGCGTGCAGTTTCAGCCAAATCCAGGGCTACCTTGGGAGGCTTTTTAGGGAATTAGGGCAAATTACTCCCCAGAGATTGATATACCGGGGATGCGGGATCAATCTCCCGCAGCATCCGGAAGCACCTCAACGTACAATGGGACTCTGCCCCATTTCCCCTCCAAAAAAAGAGAAAATGGAAGAAACAATTGAGCCTTTGCGAGCAACTGTCGCCTTGACATGGCCGCCATATCCTGGGTACGCTCATTCCAGGCACGGTCATATGCTAGAATATGGGCGCCTATTATGCTGGATATGAATCGCACATATCAATGGTACGGTAGGTAGGGACACTCAGCGCCCCACTTTTGTGCTCTACGCACTTTGTGGGTCGCACTTCATGAAGCTGATCAGCTGTTTTGGCTAGGTGGAGGATGCTAGGCATTAATGATTTTGCACTTTTTTCCTTCTTGTCACATAGCCTTCATCTTTCTAGCTCGCTTGCCCTAGCCTGCCAGCGCATCAGCCGGTGTTCACTGCCTTGGGCGCCTAAAGGAGGGCGGATAGGGATAGACCGTCGACGCTGCTGGCACCACCGGCTCGTCAGCAACTGATTGGTATTGTAGTGCTGACGAGCCCAATTCCAACGGCAATGATGGCCAAATTCCTCCATATTCTGTCCCCTCGAAAGTATAAAAAATAAGTAAATTATTGAATGGTGAAATCATAAACAAATATCTCATGCCCGAGGCACTTATGAGAGAGCGCCCTATACCAATTCCGCTCTCCTTTTTGTGCCCAACCCAAGATGTTGTTTGAGCCGATTGGTGCCGGCGGGTGCCAAGGGCCAAGAATTTAAGGGGAGGCGACAGAGGCGACGTTTTGGCCAGGGACAGCGCAGTAATGTTCACATCAAAAATAGCGCAGCTCTGCTGATTAGGCCGTCCGGCACATTTCAAAAGCAAACACGATGGAATACTTCTATTCATAGTAACTTGCAAGTTGACTTTTTTGCTTGATGTACCATGGATGCTTGCTCCGAGGACAGGATGATGGCCTTGAGTACATGGCACTTTGGTAATTGAACGATCTAAGTCGTGGATGCAATTAGAGAGCCATTTTAGGGAAGCTCATGGACGAACTCTCCAATGAGCAATTTCTCGCGCACGAACTTGACAATTATCAAACATGTAGATAATAGAAACTTCAAGGTGAATTTAGAGAACAACATAATGTTCCCCTTTTATGGGGGTATTTGGAAATGCCAAGTGAGAATTCAATAGGGTCTTTCTTAAGCATAGAATGCTATAAAATGTTGTGCAAGGATCACAAATATGTGCGCAATCGGTCTGATAAACCATACAACTACAGTCAACGAATGTATTGACACACGCATAAAGCATAAATTGCATTTTCAACATGCAATTATGTTATTGTTGTATCAAGCGAGCTATCCGGTAGAATTTCAGGATCGCTACATTGTGCAGAATAAGATATCCCTGTCACAAAAACATACCACAACTGCGCACGTATTGAGTCAAATTGTAACGAATTTGAATGTCGACTACATTGCATGTGTCCATGAGATATTACAGTAATGGAACCAGGAATATTAGTGAGGTATTTCATATAAACGCTGATCAAAATTTCGGATATTATATCCGAATTTATACATAGTATAATACTATGTATAAAGTATCCGAGAATTTTCACTTCCATGCACTGAAATTTTGACAGCAGAGCCACGCGCAGTTTCTAAAGGAACGCACCATATCGATCTGGTACTCCTACTAGGAGTAGGTTAGTTTTACGTTAATAGCGCAAACAATCATAAAGTTGTGCACTGGGAGGATCCAAACCTTTGACGCGGGGAACTTATGTACTAGCCAGAAAATGGAATGCCCCTTGCCAGTGACAACGATTCACATGAGTCTCTTCTTAGCCTACTGATTTGTGCAGAGACCCAAGTCGCCTCTGATCAGCGGCAAGCACATGCATGTTACGCCATGTTATAATCCTTCCACGACATGTTAGTATAAAGTCTCCGTGGGCGGCCCCACCCCCTACAAATTCCATAAAGTACTGATCTGTGTCGGTTTGCCTGTGGGCAAGGAGGCATGGCTCTCAGGCAGGTGCCCCGATGCCTTGGCCTGTTGCGGGCCCTACGCAGCGACCACTGTGCTGGCGCCGGTCAGATTTGCACTCTAGAGCGCTGCCTGTCAAGCGCTGCTGTGACGTCGGCGCAAGGGGAGGCAGGGATGGATCAGCAGCGTCTGCATGGCCGGGCTGATGGGTCCTCGGTGGGGGCGTCGGGCACGGGGAGCCCACCGCAGCCGCCTTGGACGCCGACGCAAGACCTGAGGAAGAGGAAAGACTATTTCAAACGGGGGGCGCACATGATTGAGGTGCGCGGTGGGACGCCAGGTCGCGTGCCCGATTAACTCAGGCGTCGCGGTCACGATCTCAGGGAAGAAGAGGATTTCCTACAGGGAGATTTCCTGCGATCTGCTGGAGAGGAGCTGCTGAGTTGGTTGCCTGAACGTTCATGGGAAGGGGCCGCGGAAAATGGCGATCGTTTTGGGTGTGAGTCAGCGGCAATGACGATGCAAAGCTGTGTGGGCGCTTCAGGTGCTGGAGAGCTTGCGCGTTGAAGAACTGCAGGCAGCGAGGGACTTCCCTAAATTCAGGCCCGGAGATGTCATCAAGTTGAAACTGGTGCGCACAAGCCTTGTTGCATGGATTCATGGTCAATGGTACAATATGGCTGGCAGGAATCATACAAGACTCAATGGCTGCACTATTGAGGCCAGTGAATGCCCGTTAAGCAGGATAGATAGACAGCCTTGTTTGCTTTTCTAGCCCGACGCTAACCTTCCAATGACTACTTTTGTGCTCCAGGTTGTACCGGAAAACAGGAAAAGGCAGGAAGACTTCACAGGGCTGTGCATCGCCAAGAAATCCAAGGGATTGAGGAGCAGCTTCATACTGCGCAAGACATGGCCAGGCGTCGGAGCTGTGGAGAGGCAATTTCCACTGTGAGCAATGGGCTGGCCTGTCCTCTTTCTCATTGCCTCCACTATGCCTACACAGCAGTTATCAAGTCCCTGATTGAATGGTAATGTCAAACTCCTCAGTGTCTATTTTGTGTACCCTTATCCCAATAGATTATTCTCTACCTTGACCTTACTGCTTCCTTTTTTCGGTACCTTCCACTTTGTGCTCTAGTGTTCCACTCTCAACTTTGCTTTGTTGTTTACACGTTATCAATTTTCTGCAAGTTGTCTTGGAGATTTCTCGATTGTTGTCAAAAAGTGGCGAGTCAATGTCATTTCATCTATCAAGGAAAGTCTGAGACTGTTCACTTTCGCAAGTGCCTGCTCCCAAATTATTTTTGTACATGTTTCCCATCACAAAGGAGCCCTTTCTTGCTGGTGTGTGTGCCACAAGGAAAGTAAAGAAAACTCTCAGGCTTAAGAACGAAATTCAGGCATTGCAGCTCATCCTGCAGATGCCAAATATGTAAACTCTCTCAGAGTTCGCCATTTCCCTGAGGATTGTCTGTTTTAATCTGGTTGGTGCTGCCAGTTTTGCATCGCACAGCAGCAGACGACCCAGACGAGTGCCCTCCCTGTTCTGGTGTTGCTTGATTTGGACCATGCACTGGGAATTAAATGGGACAAGCTGAGACACGATCCACAAAGTACTATGCCTTCAGCACCAGTTCAGCTCAGCACATTGGTTTGGGGGCACAGCAGAATCACAGCCACAAAATGCTCCACTCCCAATTCCATGCTCGTGTTAAGACATGCGCCTTTGCGACTGGTGAACATGATCTCGAAGTAACGTGGCCACGTGTGCTGCCTGTGCTTGCAGATACAGTCCTCACATTCTCGAGCTCAAAGTGCTGAGTTCCATACCAGTGAGGAGGGCCAAGTTGTACTACATGAGGGACAGGAGATATGCCCGCCAAACAGCTGTGTAGGTTGCCAGTGGCATCGCATTCAGCAGCAAGACATAAAATTCGAAGCGGCAGCTGCCGATTCTGTGTCTCTATGAGGGGGTGTGTCAGAGCAGGTGTGCTACACATGAGGGCACAGATGGGCCATCAGCGATCAACCATAGATGTTTCAGGAACATCCAGGCAATGGCTTATGGGAATTGAATGGATGGGCAGGGCCGTGCTAAGCAGTAGATCGAGCCCCATCAATATGTGCTCCATTGCATCTTGACTTGAAATCATGTGAGGATAGTTTGGTTTAGTAATGAGTGTTGGAAGTTGGACAGAGATATTTGAATGGCCAGTCAATGGATCAGTGTTGTTGGGGCACATTGGGATGTGGGGCAACATTGACGACCATGGGCTCTGCAAAATGGTGTACTTGACAAGATCCATGGTGGCTGCATACTATGCAGAAACTTGAGCCATTAAGTGCCGTGCCATATAACTTTCCGCCCCCGCCATCACTGTAAAACGGAGTTTGCGGGTTTTGGGATGGGCAACAAGATGTGATGATGCGATTTGCTGAGACAGAATAGGAACCAGATGGAGTTCATCACATGGACTGCTTCCGAAATACAAGCGAAGGGAGAAGAGTCAGTGGACTCTGTCACCTATACAGGCATGTTTCCATGTACAATCCTCCATATTGTGACAGAGCAGTGTGCTTTGAAATGTGGAGATATTATAGACGTAAAGGTTTTCCAGAAGCATGCGGAACTTGCACAACAGCAACGTTTTGGCTGGCTCTAGGCGAGGCCGGGTTTGCATCAAGTTGCACTTCCACTAGCGACCGTGCGGCACCCAAGAGGCGTAGGCAAACTGCACTTCCCGTGGTTGCAGCGGCAATGAAGTCCGGCACCCCTGGAGTTTGCGCCCTCCTTGCACCGCCAACCTCTGAGGATTGGCGGCAGTCCCATCGAAATTTGGGGCCTGCATTGCCCTTGCTTGCTGATGACTCCGTATGACCTGATATGCTGCCAGCCCGCGGTTTTGAGTGTTGTGCCGGCGCATGTTTGGCTTATGTCATCATTCTGCCCAACGGAGACGTCTGCCGAGTTACTGTGCTGGCAAATGCCTTCGCTTTGCTTTGAATAAGTGGAACATCCCTTTTGAAATGGAACACATGTCGCCTTCAAAGCATGTGGATTGCACCTAAGATACAATGGGAGGGAACAATGGGGTGTGGACATGGGACCACGAACAATCGATTCCAAGCAAACAATCTGCTTGGTTTTCACGCCCATAATCGCCTGCCAGGTGCACGAGCAGTGTTTTGTCATTTTCTGACAAATGTAATCGATGGAATTTGATGATGAACCTAAGATACCCCATTGAGAATGATGCTCCACAGAATCATGGCATCTTCGCTACGCAGGTTTGTATGTCTTTTTCCTTGCCCCGCTGCAATTTGTATCCAGATGATTGGGCACAACTGCCCGTCCAACAGCTCTCAGCGGTTCTGAAGATTGCTCGATGGGCCGTTGATGGCCCAATTGGTTGATGAGCAAATACAGCATGTTCAGCGCTGGGCCGCACTTTGCTAATTCCTGGAAAGCTATAATATCTACACCATCGCAATGTCAAATCAATGATTGTCGGCTTTTTGAGGCCCCATTTTCCAAATGCACTACACTTGATGTCCCACGGCCGACGATTGTACAGTGGAAGGTACCCAGAACAACTGTGAATGACTGGCACGGGTTTCTCTTGTGAAACTGCTAGCTGAAGATTGCCTCCTTCCGTACTGCAATGCTGATTGACCTACCACAACTATCACAACTTTATGAATCGCAGTGCACTTCGAACGAGGAGTGGAGTGTGCACATTCACGTGCCCATACGTGCGGCCACAAGTAAGACGCACGTACACGTTCGACTGGCGCAATTGATTGCATGGGGCAGTGATTGTTGCATTGTCAGCCGCTCTCACATGTCCTCCAAATCCCCTAGGTGCAAGTGGTAGCACGCAGAAGCAACAACCCATGTATTGCCAATTCTAGGACTTATAATCTAACTTCACCAGTCTATCTCACTAGACTTAGAACCACTTAGTGCACAAGATCACGCCAGGTAGGCTTGGTTTTTACGTTTACGTTTACGTTCTTACTTTTACGTTTTTACGCGTAAAAACGCAAATTTGCAAAAGGGCTTATTTTTACGACTATTTTTACGCTTTTGCGGCTCCCTGGGACACCCAGATTACACGATGAAAGTTGCGTACAATGATCAGTTCTCCGCCATATCCAGCACCCACAACACAGTGTCCACCTCGCCCTTGGCAAGGGCGATGATGCTGTTTGACAAAAACTCGTTTTCTGCCCCTCCCAGGGCGTCTGGCTGCCACTCTCTGGACTCCGGAATTCTGTATGTACGGTCCTTATGCACACCGGGCAGTTTTTATGTTGTATTTACGCATTTTCACGCATTTTTACGCTTAAAAACGTAAAACCTGTTTTTAAACGTAAAAACGTAGATACGATCAGTTTTTACGTCGCAAAAACCAAGCCTGTCGCCTGGGACCGATTCATCACTTCTGCATCCTCATCGCATTGACCTTGCCCAACATTTTCAGCCCACACTGCTCTAATCGTCCTCACAATGATTATCATCATGGATCATGCGCTCTCCTGCGACTGGGAAATGCTCCAATTGCACGTGCAATGGAAAGCATTGTGGGCACTTTGCCCGCTGGGAGCGCTGTGGACGACAAACCAGTCCCGAATTTCTGTCCTGGGTCGCCTCACTCAGCGCCTGAACTGACTGTGAGCAAATTCTGAGCCTTCGCCGCAAATGTGGCAGCAAGCTGCACGACCATCTATTTCCAATGCGTCCCACAACTCCAGCCCTGAGGGCATGAATTTAGTCCTTCTGTCTTTTACACGAAGATCCCTTCTTGTTTCGACACCCCAGACACTTTCTGATGCCGTTGCACCCACTTTTGTGCATCGCAATCACAGTGACGGCGCTACTTTGTGTCAAAATTACATCGCAGTCAGCACCGCAGACATGGTGTTTTCTAGCAGTGTTTGCATGGAAACGAGGCAGACCGCCAAGCGCGAATTCTTTGCTGACAGGAGACTTCGAGCTGCTTGATACTGCCTTGGAAAGGAGCCCAACAGCGTTTGGCGTTGTTGGATTGCTGCACCCCTCGCGCGTTGGCCCCGCAAAGTGCTAAAAATGCACTGAGAAATTCACTTGCATCATGTCAGAAATGCCGCCACAAATACTGTCGAGGATGTGATGGATAGTCGCACACGTAGAGCCCACAGTCGGTAGGAAACGGGGATGCCTGCACAGAATGTGGCCATCTCTATTTCTGCAATACCGGTCTCCTTCAACCCCCCCCGTGTTCCCCACACGACAATACATTACATTCACACAGTTTGGTGTCCATCACCTCACTAAT